CATATCTTATATATGGGGATGGGTCAAAACCCTGGTACCTAGTGAACCCCAAAATAGCTGGTAAATGGATGTTCATCCCACTAAAAATGGTACTTATAGGTATTGACCCATACCCATATCTTGTTGAGTCTTGTTGGTACCACATACTTTCAGACCCAGTTCGAATCCCAACCTTCGCCACTGCTGAGACTCCTGGGCTGGTGGCGTTCGCACATGGGGACTGTGTCTAATGTTTGTGTAGACTTGTATGGCTATGTATATGCGTATCAATATGTAGACAATTAATTGTATATATAATATATGCGTACATAATTGTATATATACATATATAATATATATATATATATGTATAATAAACTATATATATATGTATATAATATAACTTATATACATATATATATAATATAACTTATATACAACATGTATCTGGGTCACAACCATCTCACCTTAATGTGTGGGGTACACACCCTGAGTAAGAAACTCGGACAGTATGGTGCCAGAATTTACCCTTAATGATGGGAGCCCCATTCGCACAGGCTTCTATCAGTGTGGGTCCCATCATTGGGGTTCCTCAAACAATTCCACAAACAGTGGGTTCCTATCCACGGGATGGTTCCTTCTAGGTAAATTATGTCATAATTCACCAACCTGAGACTTCAGCAACCCTACCATAATCTATGATGAGATCGCGCAGCAACCATGGTCCTTTGCAACTCCCGCAATGCTTTCATGGCCGAATTAGCCTCCCAGGAGTGGCTTGGGGATTTGAAAACCCAAGTGACCATCTGGAATGAAACCAATTGAGGTATGAAACTCATGATTGGTATGCCACAAGATTTCAAAACTCAGTCTTGTGCCCCAAAAATGGGCTTTCAACTGGTCCTCCAACTTTCCACCGTTGATGAATCAGATCACAATGCCAAAACGGAAATAACTCGGGAATCGCCCAGGAAGTAGTATACGCAGGTTTGTCCCAAAATAGGTTACCCCAAAATCCAGTGATTGAAACAGGCGAGGTCCTCAATAAACCCATTCCCAAACAGCTCATTTTTCGCTTTCGGCCTGCTCTCCGCCCACTGAGGGGCGAGCCTGAGCTATTTGACCATGATAGGTAGAGGAAAAAAACCATGGAGATATGACCCAAGAAATGTGGGGATACATGATGTAACCAGAACGATGTAACATGATGTAACTAGTATCTAAGTTGCAAAAAACGATACGAAGCCTGTAAAAGGTCCCTGTTCTCTAACAAAGATCTGGATCCTAAGTGCTTTTTGAGTGATTGGCAAAACTGCTGGCATATGTTGAACCCCAACACGACGGTGTTCCATAAGACGATCAAGCATGATCAAACATCACAAAACCAGGGTAACCAGGATCCACCAGGGCGGATTATATTTATCATACTACCATCTGGTTATGACTAACATAGCCATGGTATAGATGGCCCATTTATAGATGGTTTACCTGGGTTTACCTATTAAAAATGGTGATTTTCCATGGCTATGTTAAATAACCAGAGGGTAATATTTATAGTATATTGTTACAGTACATTGTATTCTATCATACCAACATATACCAACCATGCATCTGCAAGTATGTATCTCGAGCTGAGTTTCCAACCAAGAAGGACTTGGTGATACCCACCGTGGCCCATTCGTTCCTTGACCTGGCGTCGCAAAAAACGGCCTGGCTACACATATGTACTGAATTATATCTTGATACTATGATATTATCCTATACTAAATATATAATATAAACATATGCATATAATTACATATTATATATATATATATATATCCTATATCTATCTATATCCTATATCTATATCCTATATCTATATCCTATATCTATATCCTATATCTATCTCTATCTATCTCTATCTATCTCTATCTATCTCTATCTATCTCTCTATCTATTTTTATGGCTTTCTATCTATCCATGGTAGAATTGAAAAACACAACTATGGTGAATCCTGGTGATTTACTATGGACATGACCATACAACCATTGCAGATATATTGCAGAATATTGCAGATATATTGCAGATATATCTAACTGAGTCACTCAGTCACCCTTACAATTTCCATCGCACCACCAGCCCCGCCCGTCACGTCTTTTCACAGCTCGCCACGCTCGCGTCCAGCTGGCGTCCTTTCCAGACGGCCCTCCTCGTCCAAACGATCCGCCCAAGAGAGGTCGGGATGGACCACCTTCCGGTGCGCCAAGGTGCTTGGCCAATCTTGGAGTCCCTCCACAAATGGGGATTTATATGGATTTATGGATGGATGGTTTATGGATTTATGGATGGTTTATGGATTTATGGATGGTTTATGGATGGTTTATGGATGGATTATGGGATATTTATCACTATTTATCCATGATGAATGGATGGTTTATGCCGTTTATGCCATCGTTTTACCCACATTCTTGTTGATTGTTGATGATATGGAGGTTTCCTACAATGGGGCTACCCCCAAATCATCTATGGGAGAAAATCCATAAACCATCCAGCGATAAAGGGGTACCCCCACAAAAAGGGAAATCTCCATTTCTGGTAGAGGAACCATGATGAACAATGATGATGAATCAGGATGAACCATTCGATTTGTTGAGGTACGAGTGCCATATTTTCAAACAAACCCACACTTTGGCCAATCTTGACTGATGATGATTCGGAGCTGTACGGAAAATTTCCCCACCTATATCTTAATCTTGAAGACATCCATAACAACATGCCATCAATGCCATTGCTATTATATAGATATTAAATTGTATTAATTCCCCAAGGAACACAGAAACTATCAGAAACTCCGTTTTCGCCAGGTTCACCGGTCGGTGTGCCCAGTTAACCCATTCTTTGTGACTCATATCCACAATATTTCGAATGTATTTGTTGGCCAACATCCCATTCCCGTTGGTTAATTTTTCCCACAAACAACAAATGGGTTCATGTGAGTTCATCATGTTTTTTCGACCTCCTCAGCACAGGGTGTAAAACTCTCCAGTTCACCATTCTATGGAAGGTCCGCATATCACATCTCCTTCAAAAAACAATCAACAAAAACCAGGGATTTCCGGCTTTTCCCTGTCCTTTTCTACCGGTAAAACATGGTAAAACGCCTCCAGTCCCGACACGTCACGTGTCCCAAGCCTTGAGCTCCAAGATGGTGCGCGCCAAGTCCGTTTCCTTGGAGACAATCTGATGGGCATAGGAATCCTTGGACATGGACGATGCACCCGGCACACGTTGGAGAAAATCCATGGGCAGTTTGCAAAAAGGAGCAATATCTATAGTCTATAGACTGTATAGACATACGTATGTAGGCATGTATAGACTATATAATCTATATAGACTATATAGACTATATCAGACAGTATAGAAATAAAAGGTTTGGATCTGTTCCTGCAATCTATGTCTATGTCTATCTATATTATGTCTCTATACTATCTAATTTAATATGTCTGTCTGTCTATCCATCCATCAAACCCATCCAATTTATCCAACTTATCAAACCCATCCAATTTATCCATCCTGTGGATCCTCTCCAACCTATCTTACCCATATCTGTCTTTGGGCTCGGAAGTTTACCAAACCGCCTCATCTGGGATCCCATCTCAGCAACGGCTGTTCACCAATGGGCCAATGGTTGAAAACCGCCATTTTCTGCACTCAGGGATAGGGATAGTAAAATATGAGGTATACCGTATATACCTCATCTCAGGATGTGAGAAGACACAGAAGACTGCCTACAACTCGGTTCATCGTGAAAGGTGATCCCTGAACCATGAACCACCGATTTTTTTGACTCTTTGGAGGGCTTCAAAAACATGAGACACCTGGAAATTATGAAATTGATTTTACGGCATTGCCATACATGAGATCTCCTGAAGGGCTCTGAACTTTCCGAAAATCCTGCCAACACTGCATCATTAGACCAAACATCTAGCAGGTCTCCACATCGGCCTGATTTGGTCATCTACCGGAGCGATTTTTCTTTTTGGATATGATATACGCATCTCATACCTCCTATGTCAGACTCACACCATCAAGCAGCGGTTGAGCCATCCAAGTGTCTAATAATTGTGGAAGTCGATTGACACACTACTCATCCAATCTCAGCTTTCGATAGTCATCACCTATGTGTATATATATATATAATTATGTATAGTAAATATATAATTATGTATAGTATATATATATATGTAGTATTATATGCGATAATAGTATATGAATACACGTGTATTTAAGTATATACATGTGTATAATATACATATGTCCTTGCCTGAAAGTATATCGTCCGAGTATATGCATCTTTTTTGAGGTGGAAGACAATGAGAGTCTTCAAATCTGATCGGGGAAAAAACGAAGCAATGAACCAGGACCGAACATGATCGTTAGAAAAATGTCACTCATCGGTTATAACCACGGTACGTGTGACAGCCCCCAAGTTGGGATCACACGTTGCTAAAGAGGAACTGCACCCCCCAAGAACCGCCATTTTTCATCATTTTTCCGTTGCCCGGATATCAACTTTTGCTCGGCGTGTTTTTTTTGCCGTGGTTTCGCGGTGGTGAAACGGCTCTGATCCCTCGATTTCCCAATGGCACAGCCAAATACTGGTTGGTGGTGCAATAACCATCTTGAAACATATGAGTTAGTCAATGGGAAGGATGACATCCCATATATTCATATATATATTCTGGACATTTTCTGGAAAAAATGTTCCAAAACACCAACCAGAATATCACATGATTGAATCCATTGGTTGATCATCATCCCCATGCAAATTACCCTACCAGGTACTGGTTATATCATATCATATGATGTTAGTTCATGTTATATCATTAAATATTAGTTTTCATAGCGTTCTGAAAATTTTGATTCCCATATATTTCCATGTATATTTCCATATATATTTCTATATATTTCCCATTGAACTCCATTCTTGTTAGATCAATCCATAGATTTTCCAAATCCATCCAGACCCCAGATCCATCTCACCGAAAATTCACCAGCCGCCCCCTTTCGCCCTCGGGTTGTTTCAGAAAGGCCGTGCCCAGCGGGCAACGAGGACGGCGACTGAAGCCATCCGCGGCCTTCCTGACGTGAAAAATTAGGAGAACACTGTTTATTGTCTAAAAAATCCATGTCTTCGTTTGGTTTTGCTGCAAAAGGGTTTGTTGATTGGTCAAGAGTTTGGGGTTTCTCCAGAGTTTTCAATCTCGATCCCCACTGTCAGCATGACCTCAGCCGATGAAAAAATGGGAGTTAACCAGGAAGAATGGTGGATCAGTGGAATTTACATGATTTTTCTCATGGATTCTGATGTTCATGTGCTAACCCCCATAGTAAATCATAGTAAGTGATCCCCAAGTTCCCTGATTTTACCGTTGAAGGGTGGTTTATTGATCCATTTCGCAGCCAAATTAAATGTCTGGTGTAGGAACCTGGATGGTGGGTGAATCGGGATCGTGGAGTGCAAAAAATCCAGCCAGCAAAAAGACGAGACATGGATATTTCATATGTTCATCCTGGGTGCCTCCAAAAATGGCATGGTTATATGATCTTATATGTATTTATATGTTATTTTGCAAAAAAATGACCAGAAAAATCTGTGGATATCTGTGGTCTGTTGGGCCTTAAACGGGTATGGGTCAAAATTAGGTACCCCAATAATTGGATGGTTAACACTAAACTAGACTAACACCTGTGGTCCCACATCGGTCTTCCATTTTGAGCCACATCCAAATTTTGATCCAAAGCCCACAACTAAACGGGTCAAGATTCTCGTCAGCAAATTCCACCAAGTCCATCTGATCCTCCTTCACCTGCAACGGAACCGACGGATCAGCTGTCGAACTTTGTGACCAAAAAAAAACAAGATGGCCTACATGGCCAATCTTAGCTATGCTGCAATAGAAAAACTTTTAGTTGTTTAGTATTAATATACATATATATATATATTCTATACTATATATATTCTATATTATATATATACGGATATATGTAATATATTATATATAATATATATATATATATTATATTATATATATATTATATTATATATTATATATTATATATATATATGTATATGCAATGGTGTATAATATAATATACACGTTCATTCGGAGCAACATATTTAATTATATACATAAGCACGTACTAAAGAACCAATCCAAGGTTTCCCCAGTTTACAAGACCTGTTTCTGTGGCTAGTCCATTGTTGGGACCTCATGCAACGTGGCTTTTGTGCCGGTTGCATCCCCGGTACGTCCAGATCAGGTTGATTTGATATTCCCATCTATCATTCTAGTAGTATTTATGTTGCTTCAGTCATCATTTTGGGGTATCCCATTTTTTTTGAAGAAACCAATATTCAAAACTGCTGCTTATGTCCTTTGACCTCCCATCTTCAAATATGTACATGATATATATATATATATATGTACACATACTCACTCAGCGACTTTTCTTCAAAAAAAAAACTTTATTTCATTGCGTGCGTGCGGCTAAGTACCACAAAAGAGGCTGATTCACGCGCACTCGCGGACCCAACCCCCAAAAAGTTTAAAGTGTAACCATTGGCAAAGTAAGTATGTAATATACATAATACCATATGCTTATCAATTTTATATCCCCACACCTTATCCTGGACAAAGCCGAGTCTTTCCCGGGACTCTCATGTGGCATGATCAGGGACCAGGATTTCGCACGGGAAGAGGCCTCCAAACGAGATGTAAATTAGTTTATGGTATAACTTCAATAATCTGCAATGACAATCAAAACCAACATATTTATACATATATTTCACATTATTCAACAAAAATAGGGCCTGGTTCAATAAAAAAAACCAGTTGGAGGATAACCTTGGCTTAACTTCAACTCATTCGTATCCACGGTGGAAATATCGGATATAGGGAGTTCCCAAAATCCAATGGTTGTAATGTGGTTAAAACAATGTCATTAAGCATCCCCAAGTCATCACCATTTTTATCGGTGGTATAAACAATGTATAAACAACAAGTCATGTTTACCATTCCCAGTCATGGGTGGTTTATTTTTTTGTTTCATATTGTGAAAACCACAGTAAAGCTCAAATTTCCTCAGCACTCTCCATTTTTCTCCAGTTTTGGGGCTGCTAGGGGCCCTTCAAGTTTCTCATCGCCGAGTCTCCATGGAAAAGGTCAGGGAAAAGGGAGTCATGTCGCTGGTTCGGTCCAGGGAAGGAATGCAGCGCATAAAGTGCCCAGTTTGGGCATCAGTTCTGAGGCTGGAGATCGAGGGGATTTATCCCCTGGATTTTGGGAGTTCCCAGTGCTTTTTGGTGATTCCGGAAATGATGCAAAATGATGCAAAATGATCTCCCAATTTTTTCGGGGCAGATGATCATCAGAAAACTTGATCCGTAAACTTCGCTCGCGTTAGGAGGGATTCTAACATATTCTGACCCGTCCTGATTGTGAGGCCCATGGCTGACAATGAGACAACCAAACAGGAACTTGATTTTCAGTGGCACATCAGACAGTCGCTCCATCTAAATGGCTAAACATCAAACCATTCATCAACCATTCATCCACCTACAACCTCTATATAAATTTCAACGTGGAACTCCCAAAAAATGGAATCCGGAAGACGATTTTCCTAGATATTGTCCAATTGGTAGGTTCCATGTCCGCCATGTCCCAAACCATCGGTCCCCAGCACCAGGCGTCATCCGAACCTTAACGCCTGGCCCTTCAAAGCTCCACATCCCCGTGCCACTGAGCAAATATCCACCAGAAGGTGGTGCACAATGGCCGCGATCGATCGGCCTCTCCTAAGAAAATCGGAAGAGGAACATGGCCAATCCATGTTGATACCCTGCAAACAGCATAAATCATCATAAATCATCATAAATCCTTAGCTGGCTAGCTAGTATAGGTGCCAATTTACAGCGCGCAGCGGACAATCTCCGAACTTGCTAGCCCCAGAGCGTGTTGGCAGTCGGCTCCTCCTCAAGCTGCAAATGAATAATTGCTTCAGGTCGAACCGCATACAAGTCTGCTCTCAGTTTCTGCTTGTCAGGCTGCAAGCGGATGTAACCAAACTTACCCTACTTATGACTGCGGTTATAATCCACGTACTAATTGGGGCGAACCACCAAGTACCCACTGGTTTTGAGATCTGGTCGAAATTTCCTCAGGATTTCTTTGTCAGCCAATAGCTTGCCCCCCTTTCGTCACTGTGCCCAAGCGGCTGAGAATTCGAAGATGGCGTTTCCTGGTGGCAGGTACTGGATCTATTATGATCTATTCTGGGTACCCCGTGGTAAATTAACAGTTGGACCCTGAAAATAGCCAATTTTTAGAGGAAACTAATCTTCCAACCCCTATCTACCAGGGTCTATGTTAATTTACTAGAGGGTAAATTAGAATATTTCACTAATCTGAAATAATGCCATAAAAGGGGATGATTTCCCTGAAAAAACCATGATTCCAGTGAGGGAGAACAGTGAGGTCGTTATAATTTACCCAGATCTATTCATTTTGGGTCCCCCAAACTGAGGGAATGGAAGAGATTGGAATTGATTGCATATGATTGACATGTTTTCAAACCAAAAAGTGGGGCCCTCCCCAACCTACAACACTATGAAAGCCTGAAATCCATCATCTTTGGTAGGAAAGGGACGCTTCTATAAACCCATTTAAATCCATGATTTTGTTTTGGGTCACACTTGAAACATCTTGAAACCGCGAATTTTGGTCCAAAACATGCGAAGTGTCCATCCATCTTCAACTCCAGCTGCATGTCTCTGGGCCGTCGCCGTAGGCGCCGCCCTGCAAGGCCCCCTGCAAGGCGCCCTCCAGGTCCACCCAGCAGGGGGCCGTCCATCTCATCATCGGGTTGGACCTGGGATATCATTGGGATATCATTCGGATACAGTTGGGATATGACTACCACTTAGGCCCGCAGCACGTGCTCTACTAGAATTTTTCATCGGGTTTATTTTATGTAGGGTTTCTTTAGGGTTCATTTGAGATTTCTTTACGGTTAGGGTTTTCAGGGTTCTTTGTGATTCTTGTTTATGTAGGGTGTATGTAGGGTTTATGTCAAAGTGGGCAAAAACACTTTTGGAGGACGTCAGATTCACCGCAGAGGGTTCACAACGACGTCTCTAGGTCAGCTGACCTAGAGCCATCTTGTTGTTAGACGTTCAACTACAACGAAGCCACAAAGTACCCTCTGGTAAACTAACATAACTATGGAAAATCACCATTTTTAATGGGAAAATCCACTATTAATGGTCATTTTCAATAGCTATGTTAAATTACCAGAGGGTATTGTAAAGGTCACCAAAAATGATTGTTCCGTCAATCATCCCCAAAGACGGAACGGGGCATAGCACAAGTGCTGGCTGTGGAGACCGGGTCTAAGTATTGGATACCAAAAATGGTAATTTCTTGCAGTTTGCGAACTGGAACATCACCATCCTCACTAGGTAAATCATTGAACTAAGTGGGCCATGTACCATAGCTATGTTAAATTGCAGAGGATATAATGAGGAGATAGTTGGGATATGATATAGTTTCTGGTGGGAAACATGATGTTTACCAATCTATATCCCAAAAAGGCTGACATCTATAGTCAGCTGTGCATGATATTGTATGGCACAATCCATCCAGCCCTGAAAATGGTCAGCAAGTCAGCAACAATTCTCCTCTGGTTCTTTAACATAGCTATGGTATAGATGGCCCATTTCTAGATGATAAACATGATGAATTACCTATTAAAAATGGTGATTTCCCATAGCTACCTTAAATAACCAGAGGGTAGATTGCGGGCGTTTTCCATTTTTTTCCAGAGAAACCACAGTTCAGAATCGCTGGGCCGGGCCTTGGCCGAGTAGATGCCCTCAACATTGCTGCGCACCTGGAAGATGTATTGGAGCATTTCATTATTCCTATTGATTCCTAGTGTCATTGGATTGGTTTAAGGGAAAATCTACAGGAAACCATGG